TAGTCCCAGTCCTTGAGACAATGGTTGAAGTCCGGCGGGGCGAAGCCGCTGCACGACGGGTCCGTACTGGTGGCGACGCGGCTGGCGGCGCTGGCTGCTAGGGCCGCGCTGGCGACGCTGACGCCGCTGGCATTGGGGGGCTGCTCCCAGCCAGACGCGTTGGGGGCAAAGCCCCCATAGTGGCAATGCAGTGGGGGCGCAAGGGTGAAGATGGGGTCCGAGGCCATGCCCAGCGCCACGAAGAGCACGGGCAGGCAGCAGAGGCCGAGCTGCAGCTGCTGGCCGCCGCCCAGCGCCCCCACCTGGGCGAGCAGCGCTTCAAAGCTGAGGGGGCCGGGGGGCACGGCCAGCGACAGGCTGCTGCCCATTCCGTCGCCGCCCGCGTCGCCCTCCCCCTCCCGCTCGCGCTCGCGCTCCCGCTCACCCTGCAGCTGCTCCGTGGGCACCGCATCTCCGAGGGTCCCGACCTGCTGGGGGAGGGTGGGGGGGGGAGAAGGGTGAAGCGGAGAAGCAGAGAAAGCCGCAGACCAAGGGAAGAGGGCGGGCGCGAGGAAGGCGGTCAGGGGCGGGGGGTGTGCGGGAGGCAGATGCCAGGCGCTTGGCGCGGCTGCGGGGGGTGGGGGTGGAGGGGGATGATGGCGTAGCCCCCAGGGTGCGGGCACTTACTCCGTTGGGGCTGGGGGTGATCTCTACAGTGCTGTCGATTTTGCTGCCGCCCCCGCCATTAGGCTCGGGGGTCCCGGTGGCCACCCGGGGAGCCAGCTTGCCGACCGCAGGGGCCCTGCCGGCCTGCACCGAAAGGATGCGCTGTCCTCTGGCCCAGTGGGGGGCCCGATGCCCGGACACAGAGGCCGGAGAGACCCCGCTCTGCAGCTCTGCAGCCGCGGGCGCCTCCTTCGTCTCTGCGATCTATGTGCTGCTTTCCCCTCCCCTTCCTCCAGACTCTCCTCCCCCTTCCCCACGTCAGCAGAACCTTCGGTCCAGACTCTTCGTCAGAGGGAGGAAGGGGGGGCCAGGGCCCAGGGGCTCTGTCTCTGTTCCCGGGGTCTGCGGGCCATTGCGGTAAAAAGGAAAGAAAGCTGAAGGATAGTAGCTACCCAGGCAGTTGCCAGAGAGTCCTTCTTTGCTTCCAATTCTTCCTCATCATTCATTCATCCAGCTATCCAGCCATCTTTCCATCCTTCCACTGATTCATCAGTAAAATTTATTAAGGGTCTGTTATGTGCCTGGCCTTGTGCTAGGCTTTGGAGGATGACAGGATGGACAAGACCACCTTGGAGTAGCTTACGTGGGAGACAGCCGTGTATACTGGCAACTACAGTTCAGGGTATGTTCATGGAGGACTGGGTTGGACCCTGTAAACAGCCCTGGTTGCGGTCCTCTACAAGACCACCCTGTCTTATCATTTCTCAACATCATTTGGCACTGTTGACCACCCTTTCCTCTAAACACTTCCTTTTTTGGTTGCTAAGTCTCATACACTCGTTTTCTTTCTCTTGCTCCTCTTTTCTCCATGGCAGCCTCCTCCTCCTCCTTTTCACCATCATTGTGTCTGTGATCCTGGGTCCTCCTCTCATTTCACTGTTCTTTCCCACCTTGAAATCTCACCCATGTCCATGGCCTCATTCACCCCCAATATAAACAATACAAACCTGATCTCCAGATCTACATCTCCAGCTCCCACCTTGCTTCTGAGCCCCAGACTTTTGAAGCCACCACTTATTCATCCTCTTACCCTTGGGTGACTCACAGGGACCTCAAACTCTATACGTCCAAGACCAAACTCATGCTCTTCCCTCTGTAACATGGTTGTTCTCTAGTGCTGCTTTCCCCCAGTGAATGGTACCGTCAGCACTCAACTTTGGCCAGGTGCTCAGGTGACAGCCCTTACAAGGCCTCCTCCTTACCCCCATGTCAAATGCTTTACAAAATGCTGTCCATTTTACTTCCTGTGTAGTTCTTACTCTGCTTCTCTATATCTCTACCACCGTTAGTCAAGCTACCTGCTGCCCAGACTGCTTGAGCCTCCTAACTGGTGTTCTGCATCCACATCGTTTCTGCCCCCTTCCCCCAGCCTTATTTCTAGTGTAGGTGGAGTGATTTTTTTCAAAATGCAGATCTGTTCGTGTCCCTTTCCTGCTTAACAGCCTTCAGTGTCTCCTCCTCACCAACAAGCTAAATACTAATATTCCAGAAGCCTCATACATGCTCCTGCATGCTTGATCCCATGGGCTCCCTGGTGCTTCACCTCACTTCTCTCCCCAGACTGCACTCATCATACGGGCCTTCTTTCAGGTTTTCCAATGGCACAGGGCCCTTGCACAAGTTGGTCTTTATGTCTGAGGGCTTCTCCTCCCCTACTCAAGTTCTCATCCTTCAGCTATCAGCTCAAGCATATCTGCCTCAGAGAAGCCTTCCCTAACCCCTGTAGACCTGCTACTCAAAGTGTGATTTACAGAACACTACTCCCATGTTATCCAGGAGCTTGTTAGAAATGCAGAATCCAAGCCCTTGAATCACTATCTCCCTTTTAACCAGAGCCCCAGGTATATGTATACTCAAGTTAGAAATACACTTCTCTAAGATATTCAATACCTAATACATGCTGTATTCCCTAGTCTAAGGTTAAGGGCTAGAAAGGAGTGTGCTGTTAGTCTCAACCAGGAAATGCATTGCCTCTTCTCTCTACTGAACCACACACTTCCAATTTGTCTCCTCTGTTCAGAAATTTTCCAAATATGGGAACTCTTCTAATACATTAAGCAGCTTCCCACTGCTCCTTTACCCCGACTCATTTCGGTATCTCTTTAGGATTTACTTTGGTGCAGTCACAGCCAACATTGCTTGGGGATCCAATTGTCCTTGTGTCTGTCCTGAAATTGTATATAATCCCTGAACTTTATGTGGCACTGGGCCATTCACATGCATTATCTTTGTTATGGCCTCACAACCCCGTGAGACCATTATGATCATCCTCCTATTAAAGGTAAAGCCAGGGGGCACCTGGGTGGCTCAGTCAGTTAAGCATCTCCCTTCCGCTCAGGTCATGATCCCAGAGTCCTGGGATTGAGTCCTGCCTCTGGCTCCCTGCTGAGCAGGGAGTCTGCTTCTCCCTCTGCCCTGCCTCTGCCTGCCGCTCTCTCTGTCAACCGAATAAAGTCTTAAAAATAAATAAATTTAAAAAAAAAGGTAAAGCCAGGACTCAGAGGGACTGACAAGGATTTACCTGCAGACACATAGGTGCATGGCAGATCTGGGACTTGCACTGAAACCTCTGACTCTATTTCCGGGTTGATCTCTTGACATCCTTTCTGGGACATGATGGAGGATAGCCCTGTTATAAGTCTTCAACACACATCGGTGAATTTGGATGACCCCAGATCCTGGAAATGAGTTCTCTTGGAGAGTGAAATGAGAAAGAAGGAACCCAAAATGGAGAAGGCAAAGGCATAGAGGGGGCCAAGAGACTCAGACTGTGACTGAAGTTTGGGGTGCCTCTAATCCAGTCACGGTGCCAAGGTGTCATCTGGGGAAAGTACAACGGAAGCAATGGATCTGTGGCTTGGACTTCTTCCCTGGGTAAGTGGCTAGAGTGATCTCCCATCTAAGTCATGGCTTGTCAATTTCACCAGCGCTTGAAGACTATGGACTAACAGCACATTGCATTCACTTGGCTTCTTGGCTCCTCTAAAAGGTGTGTCTAGAAGGACGGTCAGCAGGAGTCCTGGGAAGGGGGACTGAAGAGGCCAGACCTTCTTGCGTTAACCTAAGGGAGAGGGCAGCCAGGCCAGCCAGCAGCACTGTCCAGTTGGCCAAAGCTCTCCTGTGGCGCCAAGCTGAGGATAGGCCTTCACTGGGGTGATCTCTTCAGCATGGCACCTTTCAAGGCTCACGTGAGGCCAACCTCCCTCCACATATGCACCTCTCTAATGACATTGTGTGACAGTGAAGTCTTGAAGGAAAGGCCCCCACCCCAGTCAGTAATCTGTCTGCTTTCTGGGAATGCTGGTTCTCAGACTCTTCTTGGTGCTCTCATCCCTGGGGCCTCAGCTCAGATATCACCTCCCCACCATCCTGTCCAGTCTCCTTCAATGGCCTTTCCCTCATCCAGTTAGTCCCTCATATCACCCTGTTTATTTCCATTACCAGCGTCCCTCATAACACCCTGTTTATTTCCATTACCAGCAACTGTTGAATCTGTGGCAGGTATTTTTTTTTTATTTATTTACTTATTTTAACTGACACAGTTATGTCCATCCCATCCCGGTGTACCTTCAGAACTGTGCTTGGCACATATCATGGGAGCTGAACCCCGCCGAATGAATAGTTACTGAAAATAACAGCAAAATCTCCCCCCAAACCTAAGGACATCCTGCCCACAGTGTGTGTCCCGTCGGTTTGGCCAAGGGCCACCAGGCCCAGCTCCTCCCCCAAGCACCCAAGAAGCAGAGGCAGAGAACCAGACAGCAGGGCTTACTGAGGCCCAGCTCTGTCCTGCCTCCCATGGGGAGGAGCCCTCGGGCCTCTCCCAGACCTCCACATTTTGGGCGGTCAATGTCCTGCCCTCACTCTCGGCCAACAGTGAGGTGCTGACGTTCTAGAGCCAAGAACCAGGACAAGAAAGGGGCTCCGGGTGAACCCAAGATTCAGGCACCTGCTTCTCTGTGGGGCCATTTCCAGAGGTGGGGGCCAGTGCAGTGACCAAGAACCTCCACCCCAGGCTGAGAGAAAAGAGTCCAGTTCCTCCCTGCCCCAAAGAGCCTGGCACTTGCCCCTGACAAAACAGGGAATAATATTAAATATAAATAATTTATACAAAATGGCTCGTACAAAAAGCTGCGGGAGGGGGAGGAACATCTCTGTGAGAAACTGAGATGACTGGAAGGGGAAAGACGCCCCCGCCTCTCCCGGTCCCTAAAACGGAGCCCTCCGGCCACCCAAGGCCCAAAAGGGGGCTCCAGCAGGCAGGAGAGGGGAGGAGCAGGTCCTGGAGGGGACCCTCAGGGGGCCAGGCTGGAGAGCAGAGAGGTGAACTGCAAGGCCTGCCCTGCCAACTCCGCCACGCGCTGCGCCATCTCTCGGGCCGCAGGGTGGGATGGGTAGCCCAGCGCGGCCCCCTTGACAGCCAGCACCGTGGCCCGTAGTGCCTGGCCCAGTGCCGTACCTGCAGCCCCGACCTGCGCTCGCAGAGGCGCGGACGCTGCCAGCCGGCCCAGAGTGTCCCCTACAAACACCAGGCGGTGAGCGGCCACCACCACCCGCTTGCCATGGGGCACGAAGAGGCGTGGGGGCTGCTTGGCCTGGGTGCTGGACATGAGGGCTGCCACGGCTGCCTGCAGTGCTGAGTAGTGGCTCTGGCACTGGCCTGCGTAGAAGTGCAGGAGCTGTAGGTCTCCGGTGGGCAGATCCAGCGGCTCCCCTGGGGACGGGGCCTCCTGGCGGCAAGAGGAGTGGTTGGCAGGCACGCTCCAGTGGTGCTACTCCTGCACTGCTTTCCTCCCTCCTTCCCTTCCTCCGTTCCTCGTTCCTTCCTTTCACTCCCTCCTTTTTACCCGAGCTCCTCCCTCCGCCCACCAGAACGTTTAAATTCTCATAGCCAGGGCCAGGAAAGTGCCCGGAGGAGCTGATGTCAGATCAATCTGGATTCAAACTAGTCTCTGAACTTGGTTCCTTATCTCTAAAATGGGGCATCTGTCCCATTTTATGCTGTCCAGTATCAACATAATGGGAACCACATGTGTAATCAAAATTTTTCTAGTAGCCATGTTGAGAAAAGTAAAAAGATTTTTCTAACTCCAGATATAAAAATTGTTGTAATTTCAACATGTAATCAATATAAAAATGACTGACGTTTCTTTTCATTCTAAGTGCAAAATCTGGTGTGCGTTTGTTTTATACCTACCGTGCCTTTCAGTTCAGACTAGCCACATTTCAAGTGCGCCGTAGCCGCATGTGGCTAGTGGCCACCTTATTGGATAGTGCCGTTCTAGCGTCTGCCTCCCACGGCTGCGGGGCAGTGAATGCCACAGCATGCAGAGAGGGCTTAGGACAGAACGTTGCACACGGTGAGCACTGTACCAGTACTGACTGTGGCTGTGATTAGTGCTGACCTGTGCGATGTGCTTAGCACAGGGTCCGCACTTGGCATCTACCTGATAAATGGTAGCTATGCTTAGGACCATTCTAGACAGTCGGGGAGACCATCTTACTTTCCTGAGGCCCAGAGAGATTAACTGGTGACTTCAGGGCCCCGGCTTCTTACTGGTGGAGCTGGGATTAGAAGCCCCGTCTCTTAGGAACCCAGGAATTCAGTTGGAAGGAGCTTCAGAAGTCACCTGGCCCAGCCCAAAATTCTCTCTGCTTCCTTGGCTGCTTGGTTTTCTGATTCCTCTCCAACACATTCTTTCCCCTCTTTCTGAATTCCTGATATCCTTTTCCAGGTTCCAGTCCTTCCTGCCGAATTCTTGCTTCTCTCTACCCCAGCTCTGGCTCCCTGAGTTCTTACCCCCACCCTAAATCTCTCTCCCTTGCTGCTTCCTCCAAGTTCCTGTTCCTCCTTCCTGTGCCCCTTCTCTAGCACCGTCCCCACAGGGTTACCTGCTGCTCCGGTGACCCCCTCTCCAGCAGTTCAGGATCCCCTGGGAAGGCCTTATCCAGGGACCTAGATCCCTGAGCTTTATCCATGCCCTGTGGGAGGGACCAGGGTCTCAGAGCAGGGGTGGAGGAGCAGGGCAGGTGCCCCCCACCCCTCTCCTGCTGTGTTCCTGCCCCTTCCCCCTCCCCGTTTCTTCCCCAGGTCTCTACGGCCATCAGAGGTTGCAGGCCCTTGACTCCAGGTCTCGGAGAGTTCTGGTGGCAGGTCAGATGGCTTGGGGACCCCAGGCTGGGTTTAGGAGTGTGGCACCGGTACACGTGGTGGGACCAAGTACTGGGGTCCCAGGCCATAGGGTGCAGGGCCAGTGGAGGAAGGAAGAAGGGAAGAAACGGAGGGTCCCTCTGGGCCCCAGGCCTCCTCACTCCTCCCTCTGGTTACCTTGGGGGGCATTTCTGGTGGGAGGGGAGCTCACCTTCAGGTGGACATAATCGTACTCCTCAGCCATCGGGATGCCCTCATACTCATTATGGTGTCCTGTTGGATCATCCTCTACCTCCCCGCCCTCTGGATCCCCCTCAACCTTGGGGCCCCCATAGCCAGGCAGGCGGGGTGGGGGTGGGGGTAGAGGTCGATCCTGGATGCTGCCTTTCCGGCCTGGAGCAGGAGAGGGAGCAGGGGAAGGGCTGGGGGCCTCAGGGACAGGCAGGGCAGGCAGAGGGCGGCGGGACAGGCTCTCGGCTGAGGGCAAGCGGGGCCTGTGTGGGAGTGGGGGGCTTCTGGCCAGAAGCAGGGCCACGGTGTCCAGGTCACTGGAGGCTGAGGCTCCTGGGGGCTCTGGAGAAGGGGGTGCCTCTGGCCCCAGCAGGGGCACATCGTAAATGCCCTCATCGGTGCCTCCACCTTCCCCATCTGCTAGGAGTTCCTCTGGCGCTTCGTATAGATTGAGCAGGGCTGAGGCCCGTTTCAGGTTGGAGGGGGAAGCGTAGAGGGGGGGCTCGGGTTCTCTGCCCCCCTCCCACTCCAGATCCGGTTCCAGCTCTGGCGGTAGCTTTGGGGTCAAGGGCACATCATAGGGAGCTTCATCCTCTCCAGGGGGCTGCGGGGCAATCCGGGCCAGAGGGCGGGTGCAGGAGGCAGGGGAGTCATAGGGGCCACTGGACGGAACTCGGACGGCAGTAGGGGGCACATCATAGACCTGGAGAGGGAGCAGAGCCATCGGTTATCCTGACTCCGCGGTGGACGCCCAGTGAGAGCCCTCTGTTCCCTGCCAAACATACACATGGATGTCTAGCCCTCACCTCCAGCGTGTCTCCAGGGGCAGCCGGTTGGGCCCCACTCCCTCTGGGGACCTTGTAGATGGGATCAGGGGAGGGCAGGCAGGGTCCAGCCGGAGGTCCTAAGGTAGGACAGGGCCGAGCTGGGGGTGGCACCACATATACCTGGGGGGTCAAGAGAGACAGGTGGGTCAGGAGTGGGGACGAGAGAAGCAGCTAATATATGCCATAGAGGAGCTAACACCCCTTCCAACCACCCCCCGGCCCCCGTGCCAATGGGATGAGAGCCCAGGAAGGGTGGCAAACAGGTTTCACCCAGTGCCGGTGGGTGAAGAGCAGTGGTCTCAGGGATCGTCCTGCCCCACCTTGCTGCAGGTTCCAGCAGAGCGCAACGGGGCTCTTCTGGCCTGGGGTGGGGAGGGCTCCAGCTCTCACCTCCTGGTCCTCATTGCCGTGCTCTGGGGCTGGATGTGGTGAGCCAGGCTGGGCTGGGGGCACCTGGGTGACGCTGGGCTGGGGTGCCGGGCCCGCAGGAAGAAGCTTCACTCTGTTGGCGGGCACAATGCCCTGCTGGCCGTGCAGAGAGCAGAGGCACCAGCCATCCAGCCCACCAGCGCCCTCCCTCTGCAGTACCCGTAGAACGTCCCCTCGGCGGAAGGACAGCTCCTGGGGGGACTCAGCGGTGTTGTCGTAGAGTGCCCGGGCCAGCTGGGCCTGCTGGGTGAGGCGGGAGCGGGGAGAGGGGTCTCACACACATATCAGGTCATCAGGTCCCTTGCTCAGAAATATCAGAGAGCCCCCCATTTCCCTCAAGCTACAAATCTGAACTGACTCAGCTCTTCTTGACTGGGTCCTGCCTTGTCTCCAGCTTCATCCCCTGTACTCTTCCTCTTCCCTTCTATTCCTTGAACTAGAGAAATTCTTTCCCGCTTCAGGGCCTTTGCGCTTGTGGTTTCCTTGACCCAGAATGCTCTTGGCCTGACTCATCACCTGACTGGCCCTTTTGCATCCTTCACTTCTGCTTAAGTGTCTCCTTCTCAAAAAGGTCTTTTCTTCACTCTTCTCCCTACCCCACTCTGTGTCTGTCTCCACCATTGTTTCCTTCATCTTACTTTATACTATTTGCCAATTTCATTTCTTATTATCTACCTCTTCCCTTACCCTGTAAGCTCTGGGAGAACAGGGACTGCTATATTCCTGGCCCCTGTGAAAGGGCTTCACCTGGAATCAGGTCTCAGTGAACATGTGTTGAATGAATTTCCTCCAAAGCTTTGTGTACATGAGAAAGCCCTGCTAAGGTCTGCCGGAGAATCTCCTTCACCTTCCCTGTTTCCCAGTCAGCATCCCCTACAAGCAGAATTAGATTGAGTGGCAGCAGAGACCCATCAGTCCGAGAGAGACTGGGAAAAACCCAGCCCAGACAGTGCCTAGGCATAAAAAGGAAGAAAACAGAGACTGAAGCAACTGTTTTGTTCTCAGTCTTGGCAAATAAGGTTCTATCAGAGGAAGCTGACGTTACCATGGAGAGGAGAAAGAGTATACACTCTACTGTGTGTGTGTGTGTGTGTGTGTGTGTGTGTGTGTGTGTGTGTGTGTGTGGAGGAGGGCCTGGCAGACCAACCAAGAGCAAACATTTATCAGCCTGTTTCCAGTCCTGTCTGGTAGGGACGTCTAAGCTTTGTTGCTCTGAGAGCCACCTGCTCAGGTGGTAAGTCACAGATATCAAGTGCAAATTATGTATCCAGACATGGTGCAAGTCTTCACACTAATCATCTCATCTCATTTAATCTCAAAACATCCTTATGAGGAAGGAGCCATCATTACCCCATTTGGAAAGGAGGCCGGGACAGAGAGGGTAGGACTCCGCCCACAACGGAGAGCTGGTGCCGCTGGTGGAGGTGACTTGAACCCCAGGCTGTTTGACTCCAGAGCCAGCACTCTCAATCAACCCCTACTGCTTCTCCACGATCACAAAAATGAGGTTATACTTTCTTCTTCTATTAGTAACTTAACCTCTTGGTTAAGTAGAGTCCATGACTCAAACATGACTCAAGCGCATACGAAGTCTTCATTATACCCGACTTTCCTTTGCATTTCACCCCTCACAGGGCTCCGGTCCCATGCTGTCCTTCGGTAGAATCAATCTTACACCACTCACAGTATCGAAATATATTCTGGTTGGGTTATGCTTGCTAAGTGACCATGCTTGCTGGCAGGACCCCAAACAGCGGTGGCGGAAAGCAGGTAGTTAGGCATCACCGGAGTAGGGAATCCATGTGCCCTGATTCAGTAAAACATCTCAAGCTAAAGATCTCCGGCAGGGGTGCATTTGGCCCCCAGACCCTAGAGAGAAGGAGGCCCTGCTCAGCCAGCAGGAGTGCATGTTTCTCTTGACTGGCATTTCCCATGTGCATGGAGAGGTGGTCCAGCCCTCATGGCTGGGTGATTTTAACAACAAACTGACTTTTCCTCTTGCCTGGTTCCAGATCAAACCATTTTCTGATTATATTTTGGCTTCTAAAGGATATTATCCCACAGAAAGAAAACATGCTAACCAGATGGCACAAATTCCTGGTTAGCTCAGCACTCTTCTTTCTAATTGTAAATTAGAAATTAGTGTTTTGGATTAGGCAGGGGGTGAAGAGCACAGTTCTGAGGCAGACAGACCCAGGGTTGAGTCCTGGCTCTGTCCCTTTCTAACTGGTGACTTCGGGCAGGTTGTTTGACCTTCCCAAGCCTTCGGTCTCCTCCTTTGTAGACTTCCATGTCCATATCCAAATATCCAGTCCCGGATAATAACAGCACCATCCTCATGGGGTTGCGGCGAGGACTGGAGGAGATAATGCACCAAACAACCAGGACAAACCAAGACAAAGCTTAGGACCAGCACAGGGTCAGTATATGCTCAAAAACTATTAGCTGTTATTAGGACCCTGTGAGTTTGATTAGCACAAATGCCACTCCCCACCTCTAGGTAAAAAATCTACCTCCTGGGACTACAAAGCAGACCAGCTGACCAGCTAGCCCTGAGCTACTGTTTTCAGGACCTCCCCCTCTCCAGGCTCTGAGTTAAGGTCTTCTCACCATCATACAGACTGAGCTAAAAGGAGCTAGGGTCTGAGAAGGAGTGAAAACTGAACTCGTCCTCGAGGGGTATGGGAGGATGTCAGGAGCCATGCTTCTCGCCTTCCCAGCCTCACAGTCCTCCTTCCCAGAGTACCCATTTGGAGGGGGCCAGAAAGCAAGCAGCAGCCTTGCCTTCCCCGGGAATCACAGGGTCTAGGGAAGGGTGGAAAGGGGACAGAGTTGCTTGGATTCACACCACAAGGCTTGCTGGGCAGAAAGCAGAGGTGGGGCTGTGGAGAGCTCCTCCTTGTGTTAAGGTTTGAATTCCGTCCAATGGGGCCAAACCTCTGGGCCTCACGGCTTCAGGAACCCAGGCCAGAGTTGCTGATAGACTGATTGATGATGGGTGTGGCCACCTCTGCCCTACCCGCTCCTCAGGGGCCCGGCTGCCTTGCGAGGGAGTGGCTGCCTTAACTTGGGGGTGGCAGTGGGCCACACGCTCTCTGGGAGGCCTCCTCCCACCGTCCCATCATGCCGGCTGTCTCCTCCCTTTGTCACCAGTCCCCGGAAAGTGGCCAGAGGCTGGCTGACATCACCTCTCCTGCTCCCTCTATTTTCTCTCTCTCCCCTCCCGATCTCCCTCTTTTGCTCTATCCCCCTCCCCTTTTCTCCATCCTTCCTCCAGAGAAGGGCCTCTTTGACCTCTCCCATTTTCCTGGAGCCACCTCCGTTCTTTCAATCCCCCCCCCCAACCTTTTACTTGCCTCCCAATCACAAGCCCCTGCCAACCACCGGTGGCCATCTGTTCCCGCCCCTAAAACAGCAGATAGGACTCGGGCTAGGCTTGCCCCCTCCCCTCCATCCAGGGACAGCCTCTAGAAAGAAAAAGAGGAGAAAGGGGAGGAGGAGGGGAGAGGGGGAACCTAGACCCAGAAGCAGCTAGGGAAGGGGAGTGAGAGGGAGAGAGGGAAACAAAAGTGGGGGTGGGGGGGTGGAGGACACAGCCTCTCGGAGAAGAAAGGGCCCAGGGAGAAAGACAAAGAGAAAGCAGAAATAAAAGTGACAGGAGTGCAGGGCAGACCGTGGAGGCCTATGGCCCGCAGCCTCCACTCCCTGGTGGACTCACCGACGTGGCTATGGCCATGGCCTTGGCCTCCCGCGCGGCCCGCTCCAGGCCAGGCTCGCTTTCGCTGACTTCAGCAGCGGCCGCCCGGCACCATGGAGGCGGCCCCCGGCTGCGGCGCCTGAGTCGTGGCCTCCGCGGAGGTTGGAGGAGGAGAAAGAAAACCCACAAAACTCCCCAAATGGGAGGCAGCTTGGCCGGGCAGGAGGAGGAGCGGGGCGGGCCGGGGCGTCGCTGCGGGACCTCATCCAAGGGCGTGCGCTCCGTGCCGTCCCGGGGACCACGGGCTTGGCCAGGCCCCTGGAGCTGCCTGGCCTAGGCCGCGGAGGGACCCCGGGTCCGCATGGGCCGAAAGCTCCCTCCCAGGGCCGGGGCACCGAGGAGGCGGGAGCTGGGGCCGCGCTCGACGCCTCGCCAGGCCGCTCAGGACGGCCCCGAGGGCTGGGAGAAGCCGCCGGGGCGGTTGGGCTGGACGGGCGAGTTCAGGGGCCAACGCTCCCCAGCCGGGGGCCGCGGCAGAGAGCGGTGCTCCCAGGGCTGTGGTAGAGCGGCCCGGGGCCCTGTGGCTGCCCAGCTGCGAGGGGGTGGGGCGAGCGAGCACTGAGACGTTCGCCCCTCTTCAAACTCGCCCAAGTTGGCGAAAGGAGGCCAGGCTGGCGCCGGAGGCCTCCGAGAGCGTGGCGGTTGAGCTGCGTCGCCCGAGGGCAGCGCTCGGCCCAGACACTCGCACGCCCGGCGGCGAGGCGGGCTCACACTCACGCACACTCGCCCTCTGCACGCCCGGGGCTCGGGGGACGCCGCGACGGAACCTCGCTCCCCGCACGCGGGCTCGGCCCGAAGGGGCGGGACGGCCTTCCCCACGCCTCCGCGGGGCCCCCCCGCGCGCCGCCACCCCGCGGCCCGCTCACGCGCACCCTCCGCAGGGCCCCTCGGCGCGCCCTGGAGCTCGGGGCAGCTCCCGGGTGTCTCTGGGGACGGAGAGAAAGGCCACAAAGCAAAAGAAGCAGCAAAGAGAAGGCGAAGGAGGAGCAGGGGCCAGGGGCCCGTGGACTCGCCTGGAGGAGGGTCGGGGAGGGGGGACACTGAGGGGGCTGCGAAGGCTCCGAGGGGTCGCGCGTGGCCTTCGGGCTCAGCCCCCGCGCGCGCGCGGCTCCCCTTCCCTCCCCTTCCCCGGCTCCCGGCTCCCTCTCGGGGCAGTTCCTTTCTCTTCCCCTCGGGCCCTCTCCGCTCCGGCGCGGGGCTCAGTCCTGGGGATTAAAAGAAAGGAGGGAGGGGAAAAGGGAGGGGAAGGGAAGGGGCGGAGGAGAAAGGAGGACGATCCCTCCAAAGGCGGGTGTTGAGTTTCAGCTCGGGACCCTCGGGCCAAACTGCACGCCCCCTCCCGGGCCCGCTCCCCGGCGCCTCTCGCTCCGGACGTCGCGACGGACCTCCCGTGGTCTGGTGCGCTCGCTCCTGGGAGCTTCCCTCACCCCGCCACGCCCCCGCTCTGCCCCGCCAGCCCCGCGCCCCTCTCCGCGTCCCTTTCATGAGCCCCACATGTCTTTCCCGTGGGAGGGAGCGCGCTCCTTCCTCCTTTCTGGGGTCCTCAGCCGAGCGTCTCCTCTCCTTGGCGTTGCCTCCGCAGCGGTGACAGGGTTGGCTGGCCGTGCCTGGGGGGCGAGCGGGGAGGGGACGACGAGTGGGGGTCTGAGCCTGGTCCCAGAGCTGCGGGCGGGCGGGTCGTGCCGCCTCTTACACTCCTCTGCCAGTCTGGGCCTGTCCCCCGCCCTCACTCTGGCTCGCTCTGCGGCCGCGGCCTCGGGGAGCAGGAGTGCGGGCTGCGGGCACAAAAGGGCCGACCTCTTTCAGAGGAGCTGGGATCAGCTGAAAGGACAGGGTTCTTGGGTCCCCACTCTCCTTAGTGTGTGCTGTTTCCCTCCACCCACCCCCATCTCCTGCTTCTTCCTTTTGGGGCACACCTCAAGGCCTCTTAGGCTGGAAGGGAGCCTCCCTTCTTCCATTTTTGAGGTTCCTGGTGTTGAAAAAGTGAGATGCCACACAGGATTGAAAAATTGTAGTAGATTTTCAGTGTTCACCTTGAACAAATTAACACTTCAAACCTATAAAACAGAGGATGACTCTATGTATAACCTCATATGGAGATAACATCAGAAGTCTAATTGCAGGCCCTTTGTGAACCTGAGGCCTTGAACAGGTGCTCCCCTCCTTCTCTCCTCCCATTGCACAGGCCCACACATCCAGGCATGTCCTAGCAGGGGAGGGGGCTGGCTCCCCCTCCCTGTCACCTGGGCACCTGTGAAGAATCCTGTGCGGAGGGGAGAAGTGGTACCTATGGGATGGGTTAGGAAGAGATTCTGGGGTGAGTGGGGGGATGGACAGTACAGTATTGGTTCTGGGCTTGGCTCACAGCTGGGGTGCAGACCTGAGCATGGGCCTGGGGATTCTGAATAGACTTAGACCCCTCAGGATGGTAGAGGAACTTATAAATTTCCAGATGGATCTGAAGGGAGAGCTCCGCATCCCAGTCCAATCTCCTCCAGACCCCAGCCCCAGGGCAGGGGCGCGGATGGGGGGAGGCCGGCTGCCTGCAACACCGACATTCAGTTGCTGGGGAGTGACTTGCTTTGCTCTGCCTGGTAATTGGGGCCCAAGATAGAGGTGGGCAGGAAATCCAATTCCCAAAGATGAATGCTCAGAGGGGCACAAGGAGAAATAGATGGGGGCCAAAGAGGCAGGACTAGGCAGGAAAGAAGTGCTAGGACCAGGCGAAATGGTGGCTTGGGAGGAGGGCACTGGGGCTCACTGTCCGAGCTCAGTGCCCGGGGAAATAAATGTAGGTGAGGGGAAGCAGAGTACAAACCTGCAGGATAACGAGACAGTGCTTCTGGAGTGCCCAGGCATGGAATGGAGCCAGTCGGACTCAGGAATGAATCCTGGTTTATTAGCTGTGTGACCTTGGTCAAGTTATGTAACATCTCTGAGTCTCAGCTCCTCATCTGCTGCAGTGTCTTCGGTGAAGAGTAAATATATGTGAAATGCCTAGCACAGAGATCTCCCTCCGTGGCTTTTCCTCACCTTGGCTCCTTGCCCCCGCCCCCTCCTCCCCGCTTGTACTTTCATGAAAACTGAAAGTGTTTCTTTGTTGAGGCCAAGAGGAGTCTTTTCCCATCCTTACCTCATCTCTGCCTTCTCCTTTGCAGAGGTTTAAGGCGATTCTACCTGTTCAGGGAGAGCTCTGGGCTCCAGGTGAGGTTGGGCAGAACCCCGGCTGGGCAGTTAGACCCTGGGTGGGCGGTGGGTGGCAGCCTCAGGCAGCTGGGCCCTCCCCTTCAGGGCTTGTCCGGGCCATATTCCAGGGGTAGCAAGGAAGGAACCCCTCCATCTGGCTTTCTGGGCCCCAGTTTCTCTCCCCTTCCCAGCAGGGCCAGCTGCTGGTTTCTTCCATCCCATATCATGAGTGTTCTTGTTCCTCTTGCTCCTCAAAACTCAGGTACTCAGAGCTTCTTCCAGTTCTCCTCTCTTGGGACCCCACAGCAACCAGATTGTCTGGGTTCTAATCCTGGTTTCAACACTGGTTAGTGACCTTGGCATGACCTCCTGGAGCCTCTGGTTCCCTGTCTGTAAAGTGGGAATAATAATGAAATCATTAGGGGCTCCTGGGTGGCTCAGTCGGTTAAGCGTCTGCCTTTTGCTCAGATCATGATCCCGGGGTCCTGGGATCAAGACTAATCCTCAGTGGGGAGCTTGCTTCTCCCTCTGCCTGCCGCTCCCCCTGCTTGTACTCTCTCTCTCTGACAAATAAATAATAATGAAATCAATAGCATCAGACTTTTTGTGAGGATTAAGAGATTCCTGAGAACAGAGCCTGGCCCATGCTATGTAAATGTTGGATAAAAGCAACTATTATTATTGCTATTTGATGCAAGCCCTATGGGGGCAGCAGAAGGCCAAGGACACAGTGCATGCCCTTGAGAAACTCACATCACATAGATCATGCTTGAATCCAGTCAGGACCTTGGAATAAAATCCAAATGCTCTGTCACAACCGGTAAGACCCTCTGCGATCTGGCCACTGCCCCCCTCTTTGCCTTATCTCATCTGGCTCTCCCCTTATCCTTTGTTCCCCATCCACATCGTCCTTTCTGCTCTCAGATACTCCCAGCTCTTTCCCAGCTCTAGGACTTTGCCTATCTTGCCACCTCTGCCTGGACCACTCTTCCCCCACATGCTTTCCATCATCAAGTCAAATTCCTCATCCTCGGAAAGGCCTTCCCTGGCTTTCCAGGTCCCAGCAGCACCCTCCTTCTACCTTCCTTCGCCCCCTGTCTCATAACACTGTTGCATTTTCTTCATAGCACTAATTATTATCAGAAATGATCTGGTTTCCTTGTTTCTCATCTGTCTCCTCCTAAAACGTGAGCTTCACGAGGGGCAGAGACCTTATCTGGCTTGTCCTCCTCTGTACTCGTAGCATTCAGAATAGTGTCTGACATATACTGGTGCTCAATAAATAGCTGCCGAGTGGATGAATGAACAGGGCAGCGGTGACTATGGGAGAAATCTGAGCAAGCCCAGGGCTTCCATGGGCGGGCAGCAGCACTGGGCTGAGGGGAGGGAGTTGCGGGGCTATTTGTCCAGTTCACCCGGATTTTCCACGTGTCTCCCAGGCCAGACGAGTTTCTCTCTCTTATTTTCTTTCTTTCTTAAAGACTCATTTATTTATTTGAGAGAGAGAGAGAGAGTGGGGCGGGCAGAGGGAGAAAATCTCAAGCAGACTCCCTGCGGAGCGTGGAACCTGATGTGGGGCTTGATCTCAAGACCCTGGAGATCATGACCTGAGCCGAAACCAAGAGTTGGACACTTAACTGACTGGGCCACCCAGGGGCCCCAGAGAAGGTTCTCTTTGAAAGCAGGCTCCTAAGCCTAAGCATCTTCGTAACTAAAGGTGATACTACCAATAACTAGCAACCAGGACCATTATCACTTAGTAATCAGGGCACGGGAGCAGTATTCTAGAGGCCTCCATCCGGGCCAGGTGTTCAGTTGCTGGCTTATAGGTAGATTGTGATCCCAGAGATGCCCCCGGGACCGAGGACAGCATGGATTTACCAGTGGGGGCAGAAGGATTTCAGCATTTTAACCGCCGGTGCTGGGCCCTCACATCAGGTGTGTGCAGATGAGCTTCTGCAGACCCTGCTGAGTCCTGTGGTTTCAGCAGTATTTCGGGAGAGCAGGTGAGGACTGGCGTGTCTTTCTGTGGAAGGGCAGGACAGCCACGTTCTGGCTTCCTGCAAGCCCGCAGGGTCTTGCCTCCCATCCCATCTCCCCTGCCCCTCCCTGCTGGGTGCGGATCCCTCCCCCCAGGGGCTTGGCCAGCCCCCTCTGGCTGCGGGGACCATGCCTAGGCAAGTGAGGACAGGTGTGAGGTGAACTTTCCTTTGCTTCCGCCTCCAGCGTTCTTCCCATTGCCACCCCTATCTCCCCACACCCCCAAGGGTTCCCTGGAAGCTGAAGTGACTCAGGGATTCCAAAACTAGTTCCCCCAGGAGGAAAACCCTCTGGAAAATATTTCTCATGGCAGGGAATCACCTAAAGGAATCTCACAGAGCGGCTGGGAGATAAGGACAGAGGCTGAGCAAACCGGAGGGGGTGGGGTGCGTGTGACTCAGAGCCCGGGTTCTCAGGTCAGAGCCGATCACCACAGTGGGGGGAAAGGCCAGCCCTGGGGGCCACTGTGTGCTCGCAGGGGCCTTCCCTTTGCCCCTTAGGGCTTTCCTCAGAGGACGTCCGGGTACAGAGGCAGGAGGACACCCCAAAGACCTCTCCTGAAAGGTGGTGTGGGTCTCTGGCAGCATCAACAAGCCCAACAAGCACTTCCAGTTCTTTCGAGCACCCCTCCTGGACAGGGCCAAGATGGGAAGATCTAGGCCAATGTCAGGCTCTGAGGCTCTTATTGGTTTGGGGGACACCCATAGGGATCCAGCTCTTGTGGGAGAGCAGTGCCCCCTCACAGCCTTCTCTGGGGTTAGGGGTTTCTCAGGAGCACCAAAAGCCACCCTGGTAACCATGTGCCAGGCCAAAGGCGGGGGAATATGGAGCTAGAGCAGTGGATCCCAGACCGCAGGGCTGAGTGCCCGAGTGGGCAGGAATGTCCCATGGTGGCCTCTGGCAGGTTCAGGTGAGACCTGTCCCGGCCCAAGCCTGGGTAAGCAGGAAAGCACAGACGGGGGTGGGGGGGGGGGGGGGGGGGGGGGGGGGGGGGGGCACTTCTCTTCCATTTGCAGCTGACTGGGGGTCAGCCCAGTGTGGCACCTGTGTGCCAGGAGATTAGATTTTGAGCTGGTCAGGGCTGGAGTAAAAAGTCAGCTCTGCCTCCTCCTAACTGTGCAACCTTGGGCAGGTTACTAAATTTCTCTGGGCCTTAGTTTTGTCATCTGTAATATGGGTGTATTAGTTTCCATCTCGTGGTTTTGTTGTAAGGATAAAATGAGCTGATGCATGTAGAGGGCTTGGCCCTAGCCTGGCACATGATACACAGGAGCTGAGGTCAGTGGCGTGCAGAAGCGAGAGGGCGTTGGGGAGCATAGGGCAGACAGCGGGGCAATGGGAGTGGGGTGGCATGTTCCCCGCCTCAGTGCTTTTCCTAAGAGCTCCTGCTCTCCCAGCTACCACCTCTCTCCCCTACGCCCCCGCCTCACCCCCAGTTCCAGGCTTCCCCAAAGCCACTACAACAGCTTCTCCCAATTCTCCAGACCGCCCCCGATCTCATCACTCCTCTGCTCTGCAGCTGCTTTTCCCTGCAGCATTTGAAGAATTCCTCCTCACTCTGCAGTTTCACTTATTCCTGGTTCCCTTTGTTTACTTTCGGAGTCCCTGGTTACTAGAGGAGTATTTTCTAAGGGAAAGCACATGCAAATCAGAAAACATGATTCTAGAGACCATGTCTGGGTATGAGTGTGTGTGGGGGGGTGGGTTGTGGGTGTGGGGGATGCAGGGGATCAATGGGCAAGATCGATAGGAGAGAAAAGGCTTGGAGGGAAGTAGGTGGCCCGCTCTTGGCACAGTGTCTCGCAGGAGCAGTGACCCCTGGCTGACTCACGTCTTTGGGGTTAGGCCTAGTTAAAGCATTTCTGAGCACATATGCCCCTTCCTGGCCAACAGTGGCCCACGGAGCTGGGGGTGGAGCTGAGGTTGGGTGGACTTGTCCCATGGTCTGAGAAGGGCAGCTACCCCAGCTATGGCCCTTGTCCCCAGCGCCCTTGAGTTGGGGTAGGGGCAGGCCTGCTCTGGAGCTGGGACCTCCTGCTGGGTCTTAGGTGAAGCTGTTAAGAACTAAGCCCTTCCCCTTCCTGGCTTCACCTCCTTCATGCAATGGAAGCAACCACCCACATCTTCTTCCAACAGACCTGCACGTCCAGCCAACAAACTGATGGGGTCAGGGCATTCCTGGCAGTCCTGTGGGTTTAGGCATCCTGCATCCCTGGCCCAAAGGGGGTCAGGGAAGGGTGAGGTGGAGGGTGAGGCAGCCACTGGAGAGGGTGAGGGGAAGTTAGGGAGTGGGTAATGGACAATGAGAAAGAAGTCTTGGGTGATGGGGGTCCTAGATGTTGGCATCATCGAAAGCGAGGAAGGGGTCAGAGAACAGAAGGGTTAAGGGTCAAAGTAGATAGAGGGAAGTGTTCACTAAGGTGGGTGATCAGGAGGCTTTCTGAGAAGAAAGGGAATGGCTGAGACAAGGCCCTGGGTGGGGCATGGAAATGAGGCCTCCTGAAGACAGACCAGATGATGTTCCCGAATTTGGGGTACCAAGCCAACCAGAGAAATTCCCATAATGCCAGTTCTCCAATACCCAGAATAGCAGAATACTATTACTTTGACCCCACACCCAGAAAGGTGCAAAGAACAGATTTTCCCCAATAGGCTCCCCAGGTGTGATGTGAATTATAACTTCCATGAATATAACATTTAAGCAGCTTTTGGAAACACTTGCAGGGTTTTTTTGGTTTTGTTTTGTTTTTTAATGTCAGGTCACTCCCTCCAAAAGGTCGTGGAAATAAATTTGAATAAACAAAACAGGTTTGCTGAAAATAAAACCAGGGCGCCCCAGCTGCTCCAGTCAGCCTGCTTCCACAAGGCCCCACCTGTCAGCCAGTGCAGCACCGTGGCTGGGCGAGAAGCATCAGGCATGAACCAGGTGAGTGCGAGGGGGCCTGACAGGTGCTGAGGCGTTGCTGAGGGTGGAGAGAGGCCAGGCTCTGGGTTTGGGGCTGGGGTCCAGGTGGAGCTGGAAACCAGGCTCTCAGGGAACAGCTGGGGAGGGAGCACCCTGATTAGTTGAGAGCAGTTCTCTCACTGGCCTTTCCCCGTAGGTGATCGTGTTCTTGGTAATGGCCATGGGAACCCACAGCCTCAATTTTCGGATCCGGAAGGACTGCACCCACTGGCCCAGATGCTGCCCCAGCAAAAGGCAGGACCCCGCTCACGAGTCTCTGAAGGGGAACACTGTGCTCAAGCTCCCCCAAGAGGCCACTAGCCTCACCCACCACCCAGAATCCTGCAGGGCCAGTGAAGACGGACCCCTCAACAGCAGGTCTATCTCTCCCTGGAGCTATGAGTGAGTCTGTCGCCCCCTCCCGAATGCTAGCATGTCTGTCCATCAGGGTGTATGTGAGAGGCCCCGGGGCGGGGGGGGGGGGGGGGGGGAGGGGTTCCACCCAAGTGCAGCCTGCCTGCCCCTCAGAGAGGCCATAAAGGTTTGGGTGTTAGGCAAGGCCTAGTCTGGGTTCTAGCTCTCACTCTTAGTGGGTGACTTTGAGCCACTTCCTTAAGGTTTCAAAGCTCAGTTTTTTTCATCTGTAAAATGAGGTAATACCCCCCAGGCCAACATGCAGATCAGGTGAAATACTGTACGTCAAATCTGTACTTAGTACAAAAAAGGTCGGTTCTCTCCTTTTCCTCTCTTCCTCCTCCCCTTCCTTCTTCTTCTGTCCCCACAAATGGGACATGTTTTTCTAACTGAAATATCAGGGAATAAGGGTATGCTACAGGTATGAAGCACCCCAATACCCAATGTGACTGCCCCGGTCCCTGGATGGGTTATAAGTGTACCAAGCTAGTGAAAGCCTCCACTCTGGGGGTGGTTATCTGTGATTATGGGCGGTCTTACTCTCGTTCAGTGTGCCACACAAATATTAAAATTCTCTATCGGTGCCATGCTGCAAAACATATTAGGAAGCACAGAAATTGGAACAATGTGCAAAATATTAAAAATTAGGGCCTTAGGGATCCCTGTCTTGCGTCTTCTTGGGGTGCCTGGGTTCCCATTCCCCATAAGTCTAATTCCGGCTTGACCTTGGCTTTGGGGATGGCTGGACAAGTTCAGTGGGTAAGGAGAAGGTCAGCTTAGGCTGAGACTAGATCCCAGGTGGAGACTCCAGGTCATCATGCTTTGAAGTGGTCTTGGAAGTCTGGCTGGGTCCTGGGCTAACTCCAACAAGGTGGGAACCACTTTGGAGAGGTTGGGTGCCAGATGGCTGACTTGGCTGGGGTCCAGAACTCTTGTTTGGGGGCCGCGAACCCCTGATGACTACTTGGCTGATCTTCCCCAAAGTGTTCTTTGCGATACTCATCCCACAGGCTGTTCCTCAGAAAAAAGTGATGACAGTGAAGTGTGGGGAAAGCTGTTCCAGCCCTCACCCCTCGGAGATTCATAATGTGCCCAGCACATTGAAAGTTGCAAGAAGTCCGCAGAAAAGAAACCATAAATTCAGCGTTTCCCAAACTCATTTGGCCCCGGGCCCCCTTTCTTCCAGGGTACTTATTAGGGACCCCACGCCGGGAAACGCGGCTCTAGCTGAGCCCCAGCTCGTGAGGGCTTGTCTGCATAGAGAATGGTCTTAGAGCCCAGCGGCTGTTTCCTGCTAGTCCTTGGGAGGACCAGACCTTTGGAGGGTCTACATTTCAAGTCTTGTTTTGGCCACAAAACCCTTTCAGAATAAGTAAATAAGTCTTACCGTGCACGCTTACATGTGCTTATAACAGATGCATGAAAAGTGTCTGGAAGGATGTGCAAGTAATGGTTGACAGCGGCTCCCTCTGGGGAGGGGGACTGGTAGGGAGACTGATGTCCTCACTTTACAGTGTTTCATACTGGGATGTAAGAGCCGTTTTTACTTTATAATAATAATTAAAAAAAACCCTAATAATGTAATAACAATTACAAAAAGAAACCTCATGCCCGAGCCCAGTGGGTACATCAGATGGAAGCAGTGCCTGTGTGGTGGAGGTCGCTCACCTTCCCCTGCCTCTGCAAGGCTCCGAGGCCAGAAAACCACCCCTCCGTCCCTGCCCCTCACTGCCCGCAGGGGAAAATAACTCCCAGAGGGGAGGGGGTCACTCAGGAAGTGGGTGCAAGAGCTGGGACAAAAGCCAGGCCCACCTCACCACATTTCCTTCCTCCAGCATCACCACTCCGGCACCCCACCCCATCCCCTGCCTGCCCGCCCCGCCAGCCTCCCTCCAGGGTCTGATTGAGTGCTACCCCCACAGGTTGGACAGGGACTTGAACCGGCTCCCCCAGGACCTGTACCACGCCCGCTGCCTGTGTTCACACTGTGTCAGCCTACAGACGGGCTCCCACATGGACCCCCTGGGCAACTCGGAGTTGCTCTACCACAACCAGACCGTCTTCTACCGGCGGCCATGCCCTGGCAAGCAGGGTGCCTATGATGGCTACTGCCTGGAACAGAAGCTCTACCGTGTCTCCTTGGCTTGTGTGTGTGTGCGGCCGCGAGTGATGGCCTAGCCGTGCCGCCTGTGCCTGGTTCCTGGTTGGACCACCCGCCACGGTGAGCCAGGACGCCTGAATGCTCGACCCCTCCAAAGCACTACTTGGAGCAGCAGGACCGTGGGGCAGGATTGGGGACTTTGGGGGGAACCGCACGTCTCACTTTTTGGAGTGGGTGGGAAATGTGGGGTGAAGCAACAGAGCTGCTTATGGCTGCCAGAAGAGGACATCCTGGCATTTCCTCTTGGGAAAGGTCTTTAAGGCTCTAGAGCCTACCACCCCCATCTCTTCCTTTTCTCCCATCCCCAGCTGCCCTGGCACAGCACAAGCACTTTCTTGCTACTTCCCCCTTTGCCAATGGAGAGCCCCTCATTTCATGTGTTCGTCCGTCCGTCCATCCATCCATCCATCCATCCATCCAGCACTCAGTGACATCTACTTTGCACATACCTGGTGCAGTTACTAGGCTCTGAGGAAGAGGCTGTTATTGAGAATGGAGACACTTATCCAAATAAATAATCTGTGTTCAAAATGGCCTAATTTGTCTTGGCGTCCCTGGTGCCTGAACACCAGGCTCCCCAGCCTGATCCCTTCTCTTCCCGCACGGTCAGCCCTTACCTACTACCCTGTCCTTCTGCCTTCCAGAGTTTCCGCTGTGGCCTCCCATCCCTCCCTTTCTCTGGCTCCCTGGGGTGGGGGTCAGGCTGCCCTCCTGGCATGCTGGACAGACAGAGGCCCATTGAGGCACTGCAGCAGGCACACAGCGCCCCCTTGTCCCCCCAACAATCTGCCTTTGTCCTCAGTCTTGGCTGCTACAGCCTGGTCCTGGGGGGTGCTGCCTGGGCCGGGCTCCAGCTCCCACCCTCCCTAAAAGGAAAAGGGAGAAAGGACAGCCAGGAAGACAGGAGTTAGGGGAGGGGGATGCAAACTTCTTCAGGCTTGGGTCCTTGGGGGGCTCCTAGTCTAGCTCCTTCCTCGGCTCACCTCCCAGCTCCTCCCAGTTTCTGTGTGGACCTCCTCCTTTCCCCCCTCCTCCCTGCTCCCCTTCTCTGGGTGGGGGTTGGGCTCCAGCAAGGGGAGGGCTGACCACTCCTCCCCGCCCCGCCCCTCCCCTCCCTTCCCCACGTGCTTCTTGGGGGGGCCGGTGCAGGCACCAGCAGGGGCACTCTGGGCAGCTGGGAGAAGGCCCATCTGGGCAAGCCTCTCCCGCAGGCCCCTCGGCCGGCCTGCCTGCTTCTCTTGCAGGTTTCTCCAAGTGCCTCCCTGCTCCTGTTTGCTTTCCCATCTCTCCAGGTTTCGTCTTCCCAGTTCCCTTCTCGGGCTGGTGGCAGTGGGGGCTGTGCCTGGTGGGGTCCACGGAGATGCTCAGTGCTCGGGATCGCTGGGACGGGCCCCCCGCAGAGGGGGCAGCTGCGGGGCTCCAGGGCTTCGCCGTGGACAAGACCTTCCTCTCCTCCCTCAAAGGCATCCTGCTGGAAACTGAGCTGGTAACGGCCACCTCCCCAACCTGGCACCTCCATCTCTCCCAGTTTGATCCTACTCCCCCCCCCCTGCCCAGTGCCCCCACTGGGCTCGCCCCTCAGCGGTCCCCTTTCCCGGGCTCTCTGGACACCTCTCCTGCCCCAGCTGCCCTGCCCTCACCTCCCCGCCCGCCGGCCCTCTGGCTCCCTCTCCATCTGAAGGCCCTTACAGCAGCTTCAGTGGCAGGAGGAAGAACTGAAGTTAGGACATAAAGGGCATGCTTCCTGCAGCCCCCCTTTATCTGTGTCTGCCCCCCCCCCCCCGTGAACATCTGCTCTCGGGACAGGATCTTCCCCTGTCACTTAGCAAGACCTTAGTCTCAACCTAAGTTCACTGAGTTATGTGTCACCGACATCGCCAGAGCTGAAGCGTCCCTTAGAGTCCACCATGGAGCATCTGCCTTCTAAACCTCGTCTCTTGGTGTGAACCAAAGGCCTTGTTTTGATTTTTGTTTAGAGGAGTTTCAGACATCCGGGAGTGGGGAAAGTACTGTGGGATGGGGGTCCCTCCTGGGGTGCAGGGCTGCTGTGGGCGTGACTCCAGGGGCTGATGTTCACTCTGTACCCTGGGCTTCAGCAGGACACCTCTTTTGTGGGTTCCATAGAATGGTGCCCCCTGGAGGGGTGCAGCTTGGTCAAACTGCTGGGGTTGCTGGGAGCCAGGGGCAGGGGGAGCTGGGAAGCTGGAGACTGCCCTCAATGGGCAAACGCCTTGGAGTGTGGCTCCCGCTACCAGGGATGGGCAGACCTCCAAGGATGGGTGGTGGGGGCCAGCCTGGGGGAGTTCCCGAGGAGGGGAAGGCAAAAAATCTGGCCAGGCCTGTGTCCCCTTCCTGGCAAGCTTCACACACTTGGTCCTGCAGGCCCTGACCTTCATCATCTTCATCTGCTTCACGGCCTCCATCTCCGCCTACATGGCCGCAGCACTGCTGGAGTTCTTCATCACGCTCGCCTTCCTTTTCCTCTACGCCACCCAGTACTACCTGCGCTTCGATCGGCTGAACTGGCCCTGTCTGGTGAGGGACCTGCCCCCTCACCATTCTGGTCCCTTTCTTTTCTGAAGGCAAAATTTTCCTTTTCCCTCCCAGCCTCTGTCCTTTCCCTGGGGCAGTATGGGGCCCAGCCCCTACACGGATTTCACAGCTATGAGGCACTGACAAGGGGGACGACCTCCCACTCACCGAAGGTCCCGCCCCACCCCTGCCCCTGGACCTCCTGGCCCGCATGCCCCAGCCCTGCCCCACCTGGAGTCCTGGCTCCTAGTCCTGGCCGCTCTGCGTTCACCTGCATCCCTTCCCTGGCTCTCTCTCAAGTGCTTTATATCGTGCCCAGGGGTATCTCCATGTAGGGGTTCACAGTGCCTGAGGGTCAAGCCCCTGAATAGCCTGGAAAACTTCAGGGTGATGTTCTCTTGCCCTCTGACTTCCCTTTGACCCTGCATCCCCCCCCACCCCGATCCCCCAGGACTTCCTCCGCTGTGTCAGTGCCATCATCATCTTCCTGGTGGTGTCCTTTGCAGCTGTGACCTCCCGGGATGGAGCTGCCATCGCTGCTTTTGTGAGTCCAGCCCCACAGAGCTCCCCAGGCTCTAAGGGCCTCTGGCTGGCGTTTGCACACTCTCGGTGCCTCCCCACAAGCCCAAGCCAGCGCCCCGGGCTTGGGCTCACACCGTGCCCCGTACCGCCCACCTCCCTCTCCCTAGTATGTGATGGCCGGCGGCCTTCGTTGCGTCATCCCCACGCCTACGTGCCTACTCCCACAGGTGTTTGGCATCATCCTGGTCTCCGTCTTTGCCTACGATGCCTTCAAGATCTACCGGACCGAGATGGCTCCCAGGACCACCCAGGGTGAGTGTCTGTGCTCTGGGGAGAGGACGTGCCCCCTCCACCCTGTGCCGGGGCTCCCTGATCCTGACACGCCCTTCCCGGCCTGGCTCCATATTCACAGAGGACCAGCAGTGACCCTGAGCTACCTGGCTCCTAGGACTAGCCAGACAAAAGGAACAGTGCAGCCCAGACACTTTTTCTTTGGATTCACTAGCGCACAGCCCACTGCTCCCCAGCCAGGCCTTCAGAGATGGAGTCTGGCCTGAGAAGTCACCAGGGACTTGTCTGTGGGGCTCAGTGCTCTGAGCTCTGTCTCCCGATGAAGCTCTACCAGGAAGGAGGTGTTTTGGGGAGGGAGGGCAGGAAGAAGCTGGTCATTCCCAAATTAAAATATTCGAATCCTACTGGTGAGTCTTTTTCTTCCCTAGGAATTAGGCAGATCAGGAAAGCCGGGAAGTATTCACAAAAATGGTCATGGTCCCTCCTCTGCAACCAGGTCTGAGCCGTGAGGGAGGGGGACTGGACTGAGGTGCTGAAGACTTCCTTCAACACCAGACTTCCGCTCTACGATCTCTGTGTGCCAGGTCACTTTGTGGTGGGCCTGGTGGCTGGGCTCCCAGAGTCCTGTGTCTGAGAAGGCACAACCTTTCCCATGTGAGTGCCCACCTGGCACACCTGCGCACACAGGTTTGTTAGTGGGTTTGGAGCCAGGTGCTTGCCTGGGGCGTGTGTAGAGCTCCCCCTTGTGGTGTGGGGAGGACTTGGCCCACAGGCCACAGGAGAGAGGCGAGCCGTTGGCACCAGATGAGGGCAGAACTTCCCGAAATGCTGGCTCTGGAAGAGCTCTTAGACATCAGCTGGTCCCATGCCCTCATTTCACATAAGAGAAAACAAGCCCAATTACAGGAAGTGACCTCTTCACTTGTGACAGAGCTGGGACGAGAACCGAGCTTGCCGCACATCTCTACAGGTGATCAGGATACAGTACGGAACTCCTGCTAACTCAGGAAAAAAATGGCCCAGCCTCATCTCCAGCTCCCTCCACCAATGGGTCCACTCTCCCAGCTTGCCAGGGCCTCAGCAAACATTTCCTGAGCATCTCCTGTGTGCAGACCCTGTGCTGGTCCCCAGGGATTCAGAGGTGACAGGCAGGCCTGTCCTTGGGCACTCACAGCCTGGCAAGGAGACAGGCTAGTGAAGGACAGCCATGCCTGCCTGCAGTGAATGCTATGGGAGAGTTTGGCTGGGGGTGTTTGGAGAGCAGGCACTGCGACCACCCAGGAATCAGTCCTGCTTGGCCCATGATAATCCAGGGCAGCTGGGATGTCCCTGCCCACCCATGTGGCCTAACTCAGTGGCTCATACAAGCTGGCTTGCTATCCCTCTGGTGCTGGTTTGCTCCTGCTCTGAAATACCTTCCCTTTTTTCTGGGGTGCTCCTTCCAGAGGCAGGCCCCAGCCCCCAAGCCCTGCCTGAACCCTACAACTCCAGTAGAACGGCTCTGCTCCCCTTGGTGATAATCGTGGGTCTGTCTGGGTCTGACTTCTCCAACTTTCCTGTCCTCATATCCGAGCTCCTCACCAGGACTGGCAGCCTCCCCAGGGCTAGAACCAACTGGATTTTGTGTTTTTCTGGGTTTCTGCTAACATTCTCAGGGCTCTATGCATAGTCCACTCTCAACACTGATTGGGCACCCTTGGGGGAGGTGGGGTCAAGGCTTTAGAGGAGGCATAGCAGGGGCTTAGGGCAGTTTAGGAGATGGGCTGCCAGGTGAAGGGATGAGAAGGTGGTTAGGAGAACCTGGGCTATAAAGCCCAGCAGGGGGCAGGGATTCGCCTGGAGCCGAATGGGGCCGGGACCAGCCCTGCCCCCTGGGCAGGCATATAACCTGGGCTAGACTGTCCCTGGTGGGAGCTCAGAGAGAGTGGAAGTGTGATCTACAGTGTGTACCTGCTTATGTGCCTGTGCCCATCTGTGCCCGTGTGAGAGGCCAAAATGAAACAAGCAACGCTTGGCTTTGGTCCACAGAGCCTGCTGATTCAGGCTTGGTGTCAGCTGGTCCCAGGGTCTTAGGATCCCCTCACAGTGAGGTGCTGACCACAGAGGCCGAGGTCAGACCTGGGCCCCAGCCGACTGTGCCTGGGACTCCCTGTTGGTTACTCCTAAGGGTCTAGACAGAATGGGACCTGTACCAACCCCTTTATGGACCTCCACCCCCAGTGAGCCCTGAGCCTCTCCTGGTGTCAGTGGGAAATTCATCTGGGAGGGAACGGGTGTCCCAGGACACCTTGAACCCCTGCAGCCCAGAGCTGGGGTAGGTGGACGGGAGCTTCAGCTTCGACACGAAAATTCTCTCGGCACACAGAATCGGCTCACCCTTCTGGTACCTTTGTTTTCTCCCCTCCTGACCAGGGCTCTCCGGGCCTCGGCTGCCTCCTCTGTAGATGTGGAAAGCTTGGGCTCCCACAGCTCTGACACAGGGGCAGGGCCTCCCTCCGCTGGGGAGCTTTAAGACAGCTCCTGGCTGGCTGGCAGCGGTGGCGGGAAGGACAGGGCGCAGGCAGAGTCCGGCATTCAGGTTTATTACAGGTTGGCAAGAGGGGGCTTCCTGAGGCGGTGTCACTCCTCGTCATGCAGTTTTTGCTGAGAAAGGAGTAAAAGGTGTGAGGGGCCAGCTGGCAAGAGGGAGGCAGGGTGTGGGGAGGAATCTCTAGGGCTTTCAGGGGCCTAAAGGGGATGGCTTTAGAGGGAGAGGTTCTGGCCTCGGGGATCTTGGGTCTCACTTGGGGGCCTTTGTAGTTTAGTGGGTGGGACTGGGCTTTCTTCAGAGGTTCAGGGGGTTCTCAGGTGTGGGTGCCGTGGGACCCCCAGGTCTGCCATAATATAGGGTAAGGAGTGCCCATTCTGAGGGCCACTGATGTTGGCGGATGTGCTGACACGGGGCGACTAGTGAGGCCCAGGGGAGGGACCCACCTTGGCGCCGATGTCGCGGCTCTTGGCCCGCAGCTTGTTGACCTGGGACTCGGCGATGTCTGCGCGCTCCTCCGCCTCATCCAGCTCGTGCTGCACCTTGCGGAACTTGGACAGGTTGGTGTTGGCCTGCTCCTCCTGTGGGGGTTCGGGGACGGGGAGGCTGAGGTGAGAGGCAGCAGGGGGAGGGGGAGGAGGTGGAAATTCCCAGCCTCCCAGTCTGAGAGATTCCCTGTCCCTGAGCCAGGGCTCAGGGCTCCCACCCCTCTACGTTCCTGCAACAGCCTTGTCAAGGGTATCCTGCTCCCGGCTTGGCACCCTCCTCAGCTTGCCCAGCATTCAGAATCCTGCATGGCCACCCACTGCCTGAGATGAATTACATGCTGCCTGGTCCAGTCCCATTCAGAATCCAGCTTCACTGCATCTGCCCAACTAGGACTCTGATAGATGCTCCCAGCTCCGGAGATGTTCCCAGCTCTGGGGTTTCCTGCACATGTGTGCTCATCGACACCTTACTTTCACACTTTTCTGCCCACCCAGAATCTTCCCCACTGCCCTATGGTCAGGTCCTCTCCTGGGCTCACTTCCACGGCCACCTTCCAGCCTTGAGCACTGTCTGGCCCCGTGGCCTGCTTAGCAGCTACACTGCCTTCCCTCAGGTCTATGGGGGTACGGGTTTTCAGCAGTCTGTAGGCATTGCTCGCTCAGAGTGCCCGACCCAGCTCTGAGCACACGGACACGTGAAACATCTAGCCCCCAGGCTGGGCCTGACACCGTGGATTCTCACACATGGGAGGTGTGTTGACAGAGAGTAGAGAAAATCATGAACTCACCGCCTCCTCGGCCTGGCGCTTGTAGGCCTTGACCTTCAGCTGCAGCTTGTCCACCAGGTCCTGCAGCCGCAGCAGGTTCTTCTTGTCCTCCTCTGTCTGGGGGCGGATGGATGGGAGAAGCCAATTTGGGGGAGGAGCAAGTGCAATCATTGTGCCCTCCCTCAATCCGTCACTCTTCTCCCCAGGCCTCAGCTGTCTTCCCTCCCTCCGCTGAGCCAGGTCAAAGAAGGGGGGTGTTGGATTCCAGCTCTGCCTCAACTTGTAGGTCAAAAGGCCACGGCAAGGTCCTCAGTCCAGATCTAAAAAGCAAAGAGGGCTGTGGCCCTAAAGCTGGAAGTGGGGCAAGGGGCCCAGAACCAAATTGAATTCCTTCATCTGATAACATGGAGGTTATTGGGGCTGTTGCAGCCCCAGCCTGGAGCCCCGTCGATGCTCTTGGCTGGTGGTTTTAGAGTGAGCTGGGAGGACTAATGAGGAACACAGGGTGAAGGCGGTACTGTCATAGGCAGACCATTCTAACCTATCAGATACGTAGATTGCATTGGGCAGATTTGGGCACCACGATCACTGGCTCTAATGTCACCTGATCATTTCTATCTCATCATCATTGCATGTGCTAGGGTGCCGCTCCCACTTATGTACACAATAGATCTGCCGTTCTCCAGCTGTAGCTCTTTCTCGTGTCTCTCACATCCAGCTGTTAAATGGACCAATACCCCCTTTCTCTGTCCTTCCTTCCTAGGCGCACTGTGAAAATAACAGGTCAAGGGCAAAAGCTCTGAGCTACACAGGTGCAGGTCTTAGAACATTTTGGGATCATCTTTATCTAAGGCCATCTATCTGTTGTCCCACAAGTTCCAGGGGAAGGTCTGAGTCTTTCCCATCTCTGACTTTTATCCTGAAAGTGCCATACTATGTCCTTCCCTTTCAGGCAGGTAGAAAGGTTCTGTGGACTGTGCTAAAGCCTTTATGGTAACACTTTGGGTTCTTAAAAAAAAACCCGAGGAAATGCTGGTTAAAAGAGCTTTCAAGAAGTAGAAATAGGTTCTCATTCGCTAGAAAAAATCATGGACTCAAGCCAAATGGACTCCAGGGAATGTGAAAGAAAATTAATCTAAAGACAGCTTCTCAAGAAGTAGGTGCCAGGGGGTTGAGTGGCATTCCCGGACAGTGGCTGTGCGTGGGGCCTGTGTGGCCAGGAAGTGGGGCAGAGGAAGTGCTTTCACATCTGCCCTTGACTGCCCCCCAGAGCAGCCACCATGCCCGCACCTGGTAGGTCAGCTCCTTGATG